GTAGGGAAACCGGTGCGTATATTCCCGGCCTTACCGGTAGGTTGGGAGCTGTCTGCACCCCCTCCGGTCTGCACCCGACTTCAGTCCCTTTCTTCGCCGGGGCAGTGCAGGTCGAGGGTTTTTGCTGCTTGCCGGGAGGCAGGGAAATACCTGTTGGGCTTTTGAGTCGCTCCTACTTCGCTAATCACTGATTTATTCCTGCTATTGCTGGCTTCCCTGTCTTAAATCACAGTATAAATATGCTTTATTTGAACACTTCCTTTGAAAAAACAAACAAAAAAACCCAACACTCAAACCCTAAAACTTTTCCTTTTAACCTTGCTATCAAGAAAGCATCGTTCTGGCTTGCCTTTTTTTAGCCTCCTTTGACCTCGCGTTGACTGTCCTCCATTCAGAACAAATCACAAAATTTGTAACAGAACATAGGAAACTAAGAATCAGAAAAACAAAGTGTGCTAACATGAGAAGTATGCATGGCAGCTTTTTTTTTTTTTTCTTTTTGGCCAGCCAGACCTGCTATACAGAAATAACAGCACTTGTAAAGTTCAGTGAAATGCCAGCATTGATTGCTTGTATTCTGACATCATAGGAAAAATATGTCTACCTAATACATGCACAAATTGTGGATGTAGTGAGAGACAGCGTATGGATATACATGTTATGCTTTGAAAGTAATTCATTATGAGCATCCTACCTTGAGCAAAATAGTGGTCTTATGGGGAAACTAAAAAACATTCAGTTGACATCAGTGCACTTTCTGTGTGCCCCTGCTTGCATATTTTAGGTGAGAGTGAGGTGTCCTGTCATCAGCACAAATACTTGCTTTACTTGGCAAAGTAAAGCGCAAATAGTCATGACTAAAGCTGAACTGAAGTCAGAAGGTCCCACTGGGTTACTTGCACCATAACAGCAAGAGGCACCAGCCCTGAGTCTGAAGAGCCCCACTATGGAAATTAATTAGCAAAATCCCAGTTCTTTCTCTAGTGAACTTTTCAATAGAATGAGCCAAGAGGCAGCTCAGGGGAGCCTTGCAGGAGAGTACAAGGAAAGAAACATAAGATGTTGCTATTAAAGATGTTTTCAAGCCCTGAGAACAAATCACAGCGTAGAACACCCGTATCGATAAAAAGCCTTTAGAAGCAAGCTTATTCTGTGCCACCTGTAAGGCAGCACATGAAAAATCTCTTTAAGAATTTTTGCTCTTATAGACTTTGTTTAGAAGTAAATGCTGGCAGAAGTTACCCTGTAGATGTCTTATCCACATACAAATGCTGCAGCACAAGACACAGAACTTTCAGGAACAGCATAGGAGGACTGTGTACGGAAAGCCTAACATCTTATTTCTTTGGTTTTTTGGCTTTGTACAAATGAGTGCTGCGTAACAGAAGGAAAGCCAAGAATATCTGAAAAGGAGCTGCAGAACAATGTAACCATGTATTTTTCTTGTTTCATTGCAGTCCTCTGTTTCTAATTATAAGCCAGCTGCTGAAGTGACTTCATTCAATAACTATTTTGATTTGATCCTGTCTGCCACTCTAGTCTCAGACTCACAGTTCCCAAACTCCAATCATCTATGTAATTTAAAAGCAATATGATTATAAAATATTAAATATATCCACTTTTTTCTTCTCAGAAAAAAAATCTTACAAAAAAAGAAGCTTAAATACACAATTTCATTTTTTTCCAAGTAATACTTGGCTTTCAACAAAAAGAAGAAAAAGAGTTTTTATATGTCACAACCTTCCTTTGTAAACATGGTTGTATCATTTCATCTTTTATAGGCATATCAGTACAGTAAAAAGCAAACATTTTGTATTTCAGGTATACAAGAAATCTCGTGGACAATGGAAATGGAAAGTTCAACTTGATGATCTTGTGCTGGGGTGAAGGGCATGGCAGGTTCGTATCCAAAGACCACGGTTTTAGTAAACAGATACAAAGCCACTGTATCTCTCACTGTTATACAAAAAGAGAAAAATAATTAGCCCTATGTGAGCTATCAGAAAGCATCTGGAAACTAAGCAGTGCAGAGCTCCTATTGGTATAGCAGTCCTGAATATTTGTATCTGAATATGCTGTATCTTTCACAAGTTTGTACCTCATGGACATTTTTTAGAGCAAACTTTTAAATATGGTCTGGTTTTCTACCAAATCTAAGCTTCCCTTCTGTCAGAGGAAGATTTTAGTCCCAGAGATACAGCGGGTCCTGCGGGCAGGACAGGTTGAACAGACCCTGTGCAACTTGTCCCATACAAGAGACCTAAATAACACTTGGTTGTAGAGGCAGGTGTTGCTGCAATTTAAATAGTCTTTGTTCTCTCATGGTGTTTAAATCCAACCTCGGTGACAAGATGAGAAAAGTAGGTTTGCGTTGGGACTGCAAGCTGTGAGGAAGGAGCCCCTTTCTGGGGTATTTGGCTTGAATGAATCCCATTTCCCCTCTCAAAATGAACCACACTGTGGATGTGGCCTCCTGAGTTGTGTACACGGACTGTACGCTGGGTTGTGTGGCCCTGCAAATGCAAGGGCAGGATCTCTCCCTTGGAGGGTCTTCCACAAATTGTTGGCTAAACCAAAATGTAGAATAACAAAACTTGCAGGTTTTGACTGATTATTCTCACATATAAATAGAAAACCTAAGGAGATGTCGGAGCACTTTTTTGTTTGTTTTAACTGAGCGTGCAATTGAACATTGGCAGTATTCTCCAGGGGATACTGTGACATTATACTCAGAGGGATATAGGAACCAAGCCCACCACCTCTACTCCTTCCGGGCTATTCCCACAAAGCCTGTAATTTATGTCAAACTGTGCTTGAGTTGGATGAGTATTTGCTAGAGCTAGACTGAGACCACAAGTTGTTTTTGCGTCCTACATGAGGAGGATCAGATTGTTCTCATGGCTTTTGGAAGGAGCGTGACAACGTGGCATTTGTGAACAGTTCTGTGCCTGAAGCAAGCTCTGCTCTCTTGGCATCTCAGTTTGTAAGAAACCCTGACATTTGTTTACTGAAAACACAAACGTACAAGTACCAAGTTTTTGATTGAAACTCATTAGCACTGTACTTCCCAGAGGGTCAAATTCCTCCTTCTCCCTCGCCCCTAATGAGTGGAGAGCTCTCCCGTTGTCCTAATCCCATTGGCTTCTATAACAGTTAATCCTCTATTTAAAAATATAAAACCAAAACTAAACTACATATCTAGCCCATATGTCTCCAAATTTAGCAATTAAAACATACTTTGGAGCAAGGAGGCAGATAAAGCAAGCAGACAAATCATACCAGATCCTGCTGTTTTGTTCAAGTTTTGGTGAAACTGGTAAAACGAACAGCTCATTGTAGTGGGTTGTACTTAGTACTATCAGAGTGAGAGGTACAGCATTTTTTCTTCAGCAAACACCTGTGCACCCCAGCAGTAAAGATGCTGTAGAAATTAAGCAGAAGCAATTAATTTCTCCCATGTTTCCAGAGCGAGCATGGTGGATCTCAAATATCAGGTATACTTGCAAGTTTCTACCAGCCTCTGCCTGGGGTCACTGTGGAAAGCCTTGTTTTGCTTCTTGGCCCACAAGAGTTTGTGTTGTGAAGAATTTTTATGTCCTCCTCCAGACTTCCTTTGTATTTCTCTGTGGCAAAATCATAGGTTGATCAATATCTGACTCTTCTCCAAGTCCTGCTGTATGTGAGCTTATCTCAATACATGTCTAAAGTAGCAGTTTTAAGTAGGCATATTGTAGTCACGGTGTTTTTTTTTCCTAAGACTTTCATGCGTGATCCGTGTGCAGAGCATTTCATTCTAGGGCTATGTCCAGATACAATATGCAATGTCATCCATCCCGTTTGCTGTACTGAAATTAAATATGTACATCACACTGAGTTTGGTTATTCTTTTTACATATATAGCAGCATCCATGATCACACTGACTCACACTGCTTTATGAAGATCCTCCAGGGAAATCTGAAGGAGACTCTGTTTGAATGGCCTGAGAAGAAAGGGAATGGTGAAATGACCAAGAAATCAGAGCGAGTTTTGAGGGAAAATCAATGCGCCTACATTAATGGTAAGCTATTAAGCTTGTTTTGACAACTACCCATCCATGAGTCTTATTCCTAACAGAAGAGTTTATCTGCTCTCTAGTCTTCTACCTTTAACAGTATAATACTAATGGCTTTATGCACAGTGTAAGAACATGGCTTTCTAGATTCCACACAAGCTTATATTTAGATTCAGTAAAGCAAGCAACAAAAACCATCCTTTTAACTCACTCTTAAGACATTGCAGCAATTGCTTGATACTTAAGTATGGCTGGTAGACCATAGCAGCTAGATGAAGCAGCCTTCAGCGCTGTACCCCTAATGACTATCTGAAATTGCTTGTAAACATGGACATTGAATAGTGCTACATAAGAAATAAGGGAATCAAAGTTTAGATAGCTTAATCATCCTGATTTTTTTTTCAAATAAATAATCCTTTTGGCCAGTCATGGAAATCTGAGGTCAAAAAATCTAAAAGCTGTCAATGGAATAAACTGACCAGCCAGGAGCAGAGGTGCCTATGCTCAGTGCTGCCTGTCCAAATCAACAAAAGACTGTAGTTGCTGAAGAGCAGTGTCAGCAGAACTGAAAGGCTCAAGTCTACCCAACCTGCAAAAAAATTGCCCGACCCCACAGATGCTGAGAGATGACTAAGTCTCCACCAGTAAGACTTCTTATGTACCTAAATCCATGCCGTTACATGTATCTGTAACTATCACCACCTTGTGCTACACTGGACGCCATCCTGGAGTGGCCACCTGGCTGTAATGCACTCCCATCCTATGAAAGACATTGCACATCGTGCTGAACGGCACTGAGTTCAGCAGAACAAATCCAAAGCATCAGAGAAGGAGGCCGTCTGCCATTTGTGTGATGAGTTAAAAACTGGAGCACACACCTTGTGGGGCTGAGCTTGGGAAATCCCCAGTCAGAGGGACCCTCATGTTGGGTTATGGACTAAGCCAGGGTGAGGGCATTGGGGAAGAACAACTAGTGCTCTGCAGCCCTCTGTTGAAGGCGCGCCACATTGAGTGAAAACACAAAATCCATAGCACAGGAAATGCAAGAAGGACCTTGACGTGTCTGCTGATGCTCCCATGCCAGGGACATGGGTTCTCGGACTCCATCAGCTTTTCCTACCTAGGCGGCTCTTTCCAATGCCAGCAATTGCACCCTGCGTGCATGTGATCCAAAGCTTCCTTGGTTGTTTTAAACAAATTTGGTATCCAATTCTCTGAGGCAGTCTGGATCTCTGCCATGTTTCATAACAGATGTTTTGGTTTAAAAGAAACAGGTAAAACAAGTAGAAGGAAAACACTGACAGTGTGTTGATTTCCCTAACTACTTCAATAGTGAGTGACCTTCACGTTTCTATTGCGTGCTTATTGATTGCTCTTGTACTTTATTTTTAAGGTTAGAACCCACTAAACAGTGTTTATTTGATGAGCACAGATTTAGGACTTTTTGCCCCTACATCCCCTATTTAGATAAAGTATGTTAACAACACTTAGGGCTTACACTTCAAATGTATCAGAGTTAAGAGTGTACTCATGATTCTCAGGGTATCGTTCTACGTTGCACAATACAGGTCCAGGTATTATATAACATATTAATTCAAGTACAAAGGCCTGAGTTGTTTTTACAGTAGGGTCATAAATTTAAATTCGAGGTCTCTTTTAAGTAACAAAAACTCCACTTTTGTGTAGAATGGAAATTGTTTGTTTTGTGAATGTGATTCTTCACACCTTATATTTTTAAATAATAGCTTGATTTCTACTCCATTGTCACAGAAAGTGCCATTACTTCATTAGTAACCACACAGCAGACAGCATCTTGTTTTATTACGTGTTGAATTATGCTTACTATTCAGTTAAAGTTGGAAGTATGCCAGTCACTACTAATTTGTCACTTTAGTCAAAAGAGCAGACAAATGAAAAGCCTGTTCTCCAGACTAATAAACTGGAAGGATTAATTAGGAAACAGATGCCTGCAGTAGAAAACAACTGTATCTCTGTTCATAAGTCCATGCCCCAGATACACGTAGCTGACTTTTAATGTGACTGATATCCTTGTTACCGGGCCAAAAATTAGGAATACAAAAACATTTTCCCTCTAAAATATCTTGCTAATTTTTGGAAACAGAAACCTTCCCACTTCTGGAGCATCTATAACAACAGCATCTCCTAGGAAAGTAAATAACCTTGAAGTCTTCTGACAATGACAACTAGAAAATTACTGACAGTACGGCCTTCCTTAAGTTTCTCTGGATTTCTATTTATTGCCCTTTATCTGGTAGCAGGTAATCCAGAAGTTACATGAAGTGTGGAGGGTAATAATGTATTTTAAATTATCAGTGTATTTTGGAATCTGTGCTAGAGAACAGCAGTCAGAATCCCGGTACAGGTTACACGTTGCCCATAAAAGTGTGGGCATGCCTAACTGTCTTGCTCATGAGTTTTTGTTTAGAAAGCATTTTTCCAGGCATCTGAGATCTCGTTAAGTTTTCCCACTAACCCAACCTCTCCTTTCATGCCCTCGCTGTTGTAGACTCCATTGGCCTGCACCGTGTGGAGAACATAAGCCACACAGAGTCTGCCGTTAGCCTGCATTTGTACAGCCCGCCCTTCGACAGCTGTAACACCTTCGATCAGAGGACTGGACACAAGCACAAAGTCAAGATGACCTTCTACAGCCAGTTTGGAGAAAGGACTGTCTGCGTAAGTATGATGAGATAACACTCTCTCTCCCGGCTCTGGGCTCGGAGCCCCTGCGGGGGCAGGCGCGAGGGGCTGTCCTCTTGCAGGGCAGAGCATCGGTGCCCCAGGACAGGGCATCCCCGACCAGGACCAGTATAAAACCCATTGCCAAACACTACTCCATTGGTCAGTTTGCACTTGCCCCCTGTGTAGTTCCCTGCTTTGTAGCTTGCCTCCCCTTCACCAGCAGGAGTTCAGTTCTGAGCAAAGAGGAGTATTAATGAGAATTTTGCGACTAGCTAAGCCTCTTCAGGCAGCAAATGACAGTAAATGCAACCCAGTCAATGGAAAATTGTGAAGCAGCTACATTGTTTTGGCCAATTTAAGTCATGTGTAACATTTCCTGCCTAAACTGTTCTGCCAAAAAGCATCACATTTCATGTCGGTTGCTTTAAACCTTGTAGCTTACTGTAAAGAATTCTTTAATAAATTTGATTTAATTCTTTAAAATCAAAACTTTGACACAGAAAGACTTGCTCTGAGAGTGAGAGTAGGCTGGCTGGCTGTGTCTGCATTCTTGAGCAATGGCATGAGATTTTATTTGGATAGAAAAGAAATCTTAAGATCAGCTTTGGAGGACCGGGCTAGGACATCTGGGAGAGTTTAATAGAGTTCCTCTGAGCACTCTTCCATGCATTGGGAAACATAACTACTTATACGGGGAGAAAAGACAAATTCTTGATGTTTAGCCACAGAGGTTCAAAGACTGACTGGTTTTGTTAGATACAGAACACTTCACCTTTCACTGAAGCCATAAATTCAATGCTCGGGAGTTTCCCAGAGTGAGCCCTTAGTAAGATCCAGTTAAAGTTTTATATAATCCACAACTGCCATGTAAATTATTTCTGTGAAGCCTGTCACATTACATGATTACAACTTTACCAAACAGCTGAAACACAAACTTTGACCTTCCCGAGTTTGAAAGGTCCTTGAGAAAATAAACTCAAATTTGTAATTCAGATTTTAAAGGGAAATTAACGTGGAATGATGTTGAACAAAATTCATGCAAGAATTCAGTGTTTGCTTGCTTTCCTTTTGGTTTAAGTGTTTATTGAATATGAAGTATGTAAGATAACAAGCGAGACTAGATGTTTTGACTTGGACTATTTTCCTACTCCTGATCTGTAACCATCTGGCAGTGTTTGTACCTTTTGTGGGAAATTGGATCTGGCTTACAGGAGAGAAGTGAATCTTAATCATTGGGTCTCTTTCATGAATTCCTGTAAATGGAATTCCAGTAAGGGGGAAAGTGGTAGCGAGTCTGGGCCATCCAGCTGCCTGAAATGACTTCACGCTACAAAAACCCTCTGGTCTCAGCGAGGTTTTCTGGAAAGCTGACTGGAAAATCAAACTTTTTTCTGCTTACCAGATCTCAGAAGGATGTAGGAAGACAGAGAGCTGTAAGTTAAAAACACCTGGAGAGTAATGTAAAGTATACTTGTGCATCTTTTATGAGTGAGAAGGTCTGCCCAGCGATAGCACATGCAGTGCTTCCTCTTTGTCTTAATTTTTTTTTGCAGGTAAATCCCTAGTGGCTTCTGGCCATGATGAAATCTTAATTACCTAAAACGCCAGTAAATACATAATAAGTCAATAGGTCTAATAATTAAAATAGTATATAGTATATACAGTTCAGGTACAAACTATGAGAATGTTGATGCGAACGTTCATGGAAGGAAAACTGATTTTTTCTTGGGTGTCACAGCACGTAAGTCCCTGCTGCCAGGAATTTTGCTGGGGGAGGTGGTTTCTGGGAGCAGTCCATCTTCTCAGCTGAGCTTTCAAGCAGTTTCTATCAAAACGAAGTAGAGCAGGGTATTGGGAAGAAAAGATATCCTGAAAGAGGAAGCACTCCTCAGCTGTCCCTTCTGCTGGGGGCTTTCTCGTGGTGACATAGAGCCAATGCACAGGGTGATTTTGTTGGGTGCACAGTGCCCTCTATAAAACCCTGGCAAGGAGTGTTGAAAATAAATACACTAAGTATTTTAAGGTGCTGAGCTACTCTGGGAATAAAGGCCGATGCCGAGAACATGACGTAGGCAGTGACTATCTCTTTCCTTAAAACAGCAATCTCTCCTCTTTCCTTTCAGGCAACAGCAATGCCGCAGGAGAACAACTGAGAAGCACCAGCACACATTTGCATAAGACCTGCTGAATGTTTAACCAGGGACAGAAGACTTGCATGGCTAAGGCTCACAGCCAGCTATATTTCTATACCTTGTACATAGAATTACACTAGGGCAGCTTCCAGGCCACCTGCAGTTCCCTCGAGCAAATGCTGATAGTGGGACACTAAGCTAACCAGTGCCATAAACTACTTCAGAGGTTAGATGCCTTTTCTTAGGCTCCTGTCAGAATTAAGTAGTTTGTTTTCTGATTCTAGCCTCCTTTTAATTTCAATTCTGATACCACACTGAGAATATCAGAAATAGGGGATATAGCATCATCTGACACTACTTAATAGGCCTACGTGTATGTATGCTCTCAATGTAATTAATAACTATATAAACTTCTAAGCTTCCAGTCACTTGTACCTATGGGTAGTACACTAGATACAACTAACAGCAGCTCTTTTTTTTTTTTTTTTTTAATTAAGTCTCGTAGGTTTTAATGCCGTAGGCCATTTTGATAGTTTTGTGCATTTTTTACTTTTTATTTTTTACAATTTCATTTGTCAGATCCTGTTTTAAATAGGAGCAGCAAAATGCTTCATGCACAATGATTTTCAAAACTGATTGGGCAGATTTGGGTTTTTAATAAGGCTAATCATACTTAATTCAGCTAATGTCCGGTTTCAAAGTATTCTGTATAGCTACTGAAGAAGGTAACTGAAATAAAACTGGATTTGTGCACAGATTTCAAAGTTTTCAGCCTTTTTTGTCCTGGTAACTAAAATATTCATCGCACTTTCCCAAAATCCATATCCCTCATGAACACCTAAGTCTCTTCCAAGCAATACACTATTAGAAAAGGCTTTAAAAAGTTGAAAGTATTTCAAACATGCGAAGAATCCTGATCCCAATTAAGTTGGTGGGAGTTCTGCCATTCAGTTCACTGATGCTTAGTTTTATCCTTCAGATTTAGCTACAAGGAAAGAACCATCTTGAAAAAAGTTAACTCTAATTAAACTTATCAAACTCAGCAAAGCTCCCCACACTGAGGCTATCCCATTCATTTAGTGCAGCTGCACATAACAGAGAATGTGTAGCAAGTCTCATAGATGACTGCTGGTTACTCAGGCAGCAGTTTTAACAGTATCCTTTTTAGGTGAGTCACATGTTTTCCTCCGTATTGACAAGCAAGGAAAATATTTACTTTACGAGACCCTGTTTCCAGGGAGGCTGTGTCAAATTTTCAAAAAATGTTTGAGCAGCACAACAGTTTTTAAATGAACCTATGCCCTTGGGTTGCAATTACTCCTTGAGGGCCAGTGGGAAAGCAGTAGCTACTTTGCAATTTTTTTTTTTTTTTTTTTGAGGGAGGGGTAGAGGGGAGGAGGAGGAGGAAGAAAGAGGCATGGAAGGAGAAGAAAAGAAATTAAAAGATAAAGCAGGCGTAAAGGAAAAAGAACAGAAATCAGCATCAGCCATAAGCAGGGACTGCCTGCATGAGGTGGACCTGGAGAGGGTTACCAAAGAGGGATCAGGGGAACGTCCAGCCCAAAACTGGAAGAAGCATTAGAAGCAACGACACCTCAGGTATAAAGAATCCCCTGCGCATTTCCTGGGCTCCAGCGTACCCCAGAGTTTAACATGTTTCTTTTTCGTTCACTATGAACCAATTGCTGAAAAATCTTGTCAAGCCAGGTGTTGGGCTTGAGCATCTTAATTTGGCATGGCTCAAGCTGTTGTGAGAGTGTCACAGCACCAGAGATGAGCTCAGGCTGGCACCCCGGCTGCCCTGCTCATACAGGGTCACCTACAGCAGGTACCTCAGGAAGATATCCGGTTGGGTTTTGAGCATCTCCAAGGACGGAGGCACCACAGCCTCTCTGGGCACACTCTTCCGTTGTTTGACCCCCCCTTACAGTAAAAAAACCCCTTATGTTTAGACAAAATGTCTTGTATTTCAGTTTGCACCCACTGCCTCTTGTCCTCCTCCCCCTTCTCACAGGACATGAGCGGTTTCACTTAACCAACTTCAAATACAGCATATTCATCATGCTTTTGCTTACTAGGTAAAATTAAAGGACAAACCCAACAGCTTGTAGATCACAGGTTTGGTCAGGTCAGGGGAACTGAAAAGATCAGAAAGGCAGCCAAGAAGCACAGCAGTGGTGACAGCAGCTAGCCGTACAAAGATCCATTGATATAGACACTTAGGCAGTACTCCAGCTAGCCACACACACACCTAGCAAGTGAGGCCAAAGAAATATAAGTAGAAAAGATAACAGCTATCTACACAAATTGTCCAACCACAGTTTTGCTGGGGTAAACATTGTACCATACGTTGCATAGAATAACACAGGAGTTTCAGAACAAGGTACTTACCACGTACTTATGCCCTCCATAACAGAAACATAAGGGGTAGTCTATCCAACAGAAAGGGCACTGATACACAAAACCTCCAGAGAAATGATTAATTGGGTCCAGAGTCCTTAGAACACATACCATAGCCGCTACCTTTGCTACTTCCTAAGCTCTAGCTATGCATCTTGTGCTCTGTATAGCACAACCATAAAGCTAATGCCTACTAAAAGCAATATTTAATCAATAAATACCAAGTGATATAATGAGATATAGAGTCACTTCTTCACTTACACAAATGTGTTCACATAGCCTGCGCTGGCTTAAAGCATAGAAACCAGTAACAACAAATTAGTATTTGCCCATTATTATGGCTGAACAACCAAGGTATTAAACCTTCTAGCATACGAAAGCACTTGAGCTTCGGAGCAGTGCTAACTGGCCAGTTGATGAGGTAGCAATACGCTGTAGGCTGGTGATTAGCTTTCATTGGGCAATGAACAGATGTTTACCGTTTCATCTGCTTTCATCTGGGAAGGTGCTATTGAGCAGTGTCACTATAAATGGAAGAGTTGAACATTTACCAGGGTTACAGCTAAGATCCTGAAGTGGTAAGAGATACTGCCCTAACCCTTTAGTACTACTAAATTGTTCAGGCTGGCAACTGCAGAAGAAATTCAGTTTAACTATGTTTTGGTGTGTTAACTAAGATTTCAGTGAAGGAACTTCAACTGAAAGACATAGGGAGGGAAAGTAATGCCAGGAGTGGAGTAAAGTGCAACATTTACATTAATACAGCACACTGCAAGGGTTTTCTGATTTTGTTGTTGTTTTGGAGAGTTATTGTTAGAAATCTTGCGAGAAGAGAAGTTGTTTATCAGAGACATGTTTTACATGGGAAGGCACTGTAGCAAAGCATGCCTGGGAAGGCATATGCCATATGCAAGGGAAAAGTGGACGACAGGGACTCTTCCAGGAATGGAAATTGTCTGTGTGTGTCGTGGTTTAGGCCAAATTGGTTAATGGGGACCTGGGGGACCCCAGATGGGACCAACAGATGCTCCCCTCTACCCCTCTTCAAAGAGAGGGGCAGAGGAGGAAAAAGAGACTTACGAGTTTAGAAGGAACTAAACTACTTTAATGAAATATTAATAATAAAATAAAAAAGAAAAAATGAAATATATACAAAACCGTATCAAGCTCTCGAGATGACAATCATGACACTGACTGGCACTGGGGCAGTCCCAGGCTGGACTCAGTGACGGACGGGAACTGGATGCCGGATCTGCATTCAGGATCGGGATCGCAGGCAGACGAACAGAGTCCTCCTCAGACGTCGGCCATTGAAGGAAGAGAGAGCTGACCCCTTGATCCCTCAGCCTTATACTGAGCGTGAGGCAGATGGGATGGAATACCCTGTGCATCAGTTTTAGGTCACCTGTCCTGTTCGCTCCTCCTTGCAGGTGGGACCCCACTATGCTTTTCCGCTTCCGACCCTCCAACGGGGCAAATAACAAAGTTGGTTGGCCTTTGGTGTTACAGCAATAAGTATAAGCAAAAGCCTCTCTGCATACCATGGCTGGGCATCAGCTATAAACAGAGGTCTTATCACTCTGAGAGAGTGAACATTGTCTGCAAAATATGTGGTTAATTTCAGTAGTTAAGAGAGGCCCAGCTAAGAAGCGAAGTTACTGAACAAAATTGGTTCTGTTTTACCTCAAACCAGTACAGTGTGGCTGATGAGGACTAGATTCACAGAATCTTGGGACATGTGTTCTGCGGGGTTTCCACCTATGTATAACCAGCAGGAGAGCAGCTCTTTTTCTTCCCGTGCGGAAGTGTGGGAGCTCTGAAGCCTCCAACAGGAATTGTTGCTGGGAGAGGGTCCCTTGCTGTGTAAACACAGCTTCTTAATGTTCTTGTGGATAATTGAGCCTAGAATTGTTTTCTGTCTAATTCACTACAAAATCTTAGCATACACAAATTAGTTCAATATGTTATTTAAGTCTGGGTGACACTTAGTTCTGAGTCTCTTGATGTATGAGCATTATTCATCTTCTTCCATTGTTGATGTATAGAGGAACACAGCAGAATCAAAACACACCCTATATGCAACCCTTCTTTCATTGCAAAGTTTTTTTTCCCTAAACCACAAAGACACAAGATGTGCTATTCACTAGCTAATCCTTATAGTTTTTCACACCCCTCTCATGGCCAAGAGAAAGCTGTGTTGCAAGAATACAGCCTTCCCAAGGTGAAGAGAGGTGACCTTGCCTACAGTGACTCTGTTTGCAGAGACAAGCAGAACGACGTGAAGCTCGGTACTTTTCAACCATACTATATATTCTGGTTCTGCCAGTTTAGCTCTTGAAAGACACTGCTGTCCTTAAATGTCAGAGTCTTATGTTCCAGGTGTGGACAGCATCTCCAGCCTCTCTGGCTAGTAAAGGAAGCAAAACCACCACGGGCTAGCTGTGCAGGCTGTTAAGACTAGTTCTGACCCTTGTAGCTCATATGAAGATTTATTCAATAATTAGTTCTCAAATCTTTGGATGCTGTGTGTACTTTACACTACGTTCTGTTTCTTCAGGGATGAATGACCCCCAAAATAGGCATAGACAAATGCTTCTAACTTAGTTGATGATTCCTGCATGCTACAGAAGAAATGTTTGGTTTTTTTTTCACAAATAATGAAACATCTTATGCCTTTTCCAGACCTGTTTCCTCTTTGTTTTTGCTCTCCAATTCACTAAAAACCTTTGGTAGACACAGGTGACCACATTATTTTCTCTTAAAGCCGAAATTCTTGACATCTGAGGTGTGCCTCCTTTCTGTCTCATTGTAGGTTCAGAGGAACACACCACGTCAAAATAAATTCTATTTGCACTTCACTTCCCGGTAGGAAAAAAAATCCTTTTCTGAACCACAAAGATGAAATGCATATGCTGTTCATTGCCTCATGTTTTGGTTTATTTTTCATGCCCATTTTGCTCTTAGTTTTACATTTATATTCTCTCAGCGGCCTGTTCTCTCCCAGGTTTAGTTTAGCCAGCTGGCTGACCTATGGCCAATGGTGGTGAAGAA